ATCATTGTGTAATAACACACCATTGCAGTATTGAATTCTCAACAATTATGTTTCAGAGTGCAGTCACACGCCGTTGCAGTATTGAATTATCATCAATTATGTATTCAGAATGCAACATCACACCATTGTAGGATTGAATTCTCAACAACTATGAATTCAGAGAGCGATCACACACCATACTGAATGCTAAACAATTATTTTTCAGATTGCAATCACACACCATAGAATTATTGAATTTGCAACAATGAATATCACACACCATTACAGTATTAAATTCTCAAAAATTATGTACAGAGAGTGCAATCACACACTATTGCAGGATTGAATTCTCAACAATTATGTTTCAGACTGCAGTAACACGCGGTTGCAGTATTGAAATCTCAACAATTATGTTTCAGAGTGCAGTCACACACCATTGCAGTATTGAATTCTCATCAACATTTTTTCAGAGTGCAATCACAGGCCGTTGCAGTATTGAATTCTCAACAATTATGTATTCAGAGTGCAATCACACACCATTGCAGGATTGAATTCTAAACAATTATGTTTCAGAGTGCAGTCACACGCCGTTGCAGTATTGAATTCTCAACAATTATGTAATCATTGTGTAATAACACACCATTGCAGTATTGAATTCTCAACAATTATGTTTCAGAGTGCAATCACACACCATTGCAGGATTGAATTCTCAACAATTATGTTTCAGAATGCAGTCACACGCCATTGTAGTATTGAATTCTCAACAATTATGTTTCAGAGCGCAGTCACACGCCGTTGCAGTATTGAATTCTCAACAATTATGTTTCAGAGTGCAGTAACACGCGGTTGCAGTATTGAAATCTCAACAATTATGTTTCAGAGTGCAGTCACACACCATTGCAGTATTGAATTCTCAACAACTTTTTTCAGAGTGCAATCACAGGCCGTTGCAGTATTGAATTCTCAACAATTATGTATTCAGAGTGCAATCACACACCATTGCAGGATTGAATTCTCAACAATTATGTAATCATTGTGTAATAACACACCATTGCAGTATTGAATTCTCAACAATTATGTTTCAGAGTGCAATCACACACCATTGCAGGATTGAATTCTCAACAATTATGTTTCAGAATGCAGTCACACGCCATTGTAGGATTGAATTCTCAACAATTATGTTTCAGAGCGCAGTCACACGCCGTTGCAGTATTGAATTCTCAACAATTATGTATTCAGAGTGCAATCGCACACCATTGCAGGATTGAATTCTCAACAATTATGTTTCAGAGTGCAGTCACACACCATTGCAGTATTGAATTCTCAACAACTATTTTTCAGAGTGCAATCACAGGCCGTTGCAGTATTGAATTCTCAACAATTATGTATTCAGAGTGCAATCACACACCATTGCAGGATTGAATTCTCAACAATTATGTTTCAGAGTGCAGTCACACGCCGTTGCAGTATTGAATTCCCAACAATTATGTATACAGAGTGCAATCACACACCATTGTAGGATTGAATTCTCAACAATTATGTTTCACAATGCAGTCACACGCCGTTGCAGTATTGAATTCTCAACAATTATGTATTCAGTGTGTAATCACACACCATTGCAGGATTGAATTCTCAACAATTATGTTTCAGAGTGCAGTCACACGCCGTTGCAGTATTGAATTCTCAAT